TTAGGACTACCTAAAAATAAGACAGCTATTCATTTACGGAGAAATTCTCCATTCATTTAATTGCTTTGTGTGAATCAATACTTCACAACAAAAGTAAGAGCTTAAGAAAGCGAGCAGCTTCATTTATTAGAAAAATACTCAAGTAAGTAATCTGATCCTCTTCAATCTTAACCCAATTTGTGCAACCTACAGACAACATGATGATTGCCTTCATTTCATTATTTGCCTATGTACCTGCCAGAATCCTCCTTCCTGCTTTCATCACTTCAAGACAACATTACAAATTCAATAGTGCAAGACTCTAATCCAGTATAGCTGGACGCATTCCGTCAAACACAGTGTTAAATTATTAAAGGGAAATTAGCCAAATCAAATTCAACAACTCAGTCAAGTTTCCCCAGGATCAGAACCTTTGATCAGTACCTTTTGCCTCTTCAAAGCCAAAGTCATATATGTCCATTTATTGCTACATTATCTAGAGAGAAAGAAAGGACTCATGCAGAGTTTTGGAGACAAACACTACAGAAACAAGTGGTAATCCTTAGTGGAGAGAATCCTAAAAAAGCACAATGTGAATGTAAGAGTCAATATGATTTGCACGTGTTAAACATTGTGTTCTGCAATAATATGACAGCATTCAAGACAGTAGCTAAGATCTAATTCAGAGACAAAAATGGAGGAAGCTGTAGGCATTATAAACCAATGCAACTTCAGCAGCTACATGTACCTAGGCCAAAAACACCATAATAATATATTTGTATAACAAACCCCAGACCACATGAAAACTCTATAGCAAGCAGATGACTAAGCTTCTAAATTGCACCTAAATGTGGACATGCTCAATTTAGCTACTCAAGCAAAGCACAGAACTGATTAGTCGTGCAAGCTTTAGCAATTTAGAAAGGTAAAGAATCCTCCATATTAGAAGATAAAGCAAGATAAAAAACTGATGCAAAAGCTATATATTAAATCAGATTATAAGCCATCAAGTATAAATTGAGCAACAAATCAACATGGCTAAATTCCTGAATTTTGACATACAGACAGACACAACGTGCTGCTAACAGGGAGAGAGCAAGACATTAATCAAAGGAAAAATGCCAAGGCATAACTTTCATACTCAAGCACAGAGTACATACTGACCCATAAGACAGTAGTTTCTGCGTGTCACTTGCTCCTTTCAGAGCTGAAGGTAGCTTTGATCTGCTCACTACATTTACACCATTTCAAACTAAGCTTGACTATCAGCATTACTGTTACAAAAAATGACAAGTATAATATTTTACACATACAGAAAACACTTCTACTGAAGAAAATCACATAAATACAGAATCACGAAAGAACTGAAGTGTTGCTAAGCAAACTGACGGGAGAATTCTGTTGAAGCAGGAGCCGTAAGGAACAGTTTGGAAAGATAAAATATATAAATATATCCATAAAAATCTTGAGTATCCCTAATTTTAAAACTCTTAACTTCTGCCTCAGCTATTTGCAGAAAACACCTTATCAGTTGAACAGCTTGGATAAAACAATTCCTGTGCCCACCCCTAAAAGTTAACTCTAGTCCTGTTGGTAGGATGTTAAGTTACTTGACAAATGGATCAGTAACTAACAAGCCCCAGAGTCAGGTATGTTACTGTAGCAATTAGACATGCACATCTTGGACCTAATTTCATGAAAATCTCTTCTTTCATGAGTAGTGGGGTATCCTGGGGATTCCTTCTCTAGCACAAATGTAAATGGGGTTTGTAATGTAAAGTATTTGTTTCACCACCTCCAGACAAAATATTTCTGAACCAGTAGCACACAAACATTTTCCTCTCTTTTTAGCTCTTTGTGAGAACCAACTTAGCAAAAACTTCCATCTACACCAGACAATTAGAAGACTACCATAGAACATAATAACAAGGTAAAATGCAGCGCAAACCTAACACGACTTGCTATAATTGTAAAGCTACCATTAAAGATGAAACTGCATAGGGAAAATTTTAGGCTACTCATATGCCATTTCTGTGATTATTGGTTAATTTGTGAATTCCCCTGAAGACAGAAATCTCAGGTACAACTCTTTACAAGAACTGTATCTCAAGGCACTAAAAAGAAAACTCTAGAAAAAGCATAAGCCATGTTTACTATGAAAAATGACTAATAAAAGCTCTGGTGATGTTTGTTTCTTGTAATATCAGAAGGCATTTACTAGTTTATTTAACAGAACTTGTCAACAAGAGATGTTTCCGCCTAAAGATTTTTATCATCTTTTCTCAGGGTTACATTTGCAGTTTCCTTGGGCTTCATATTGATGCAAATTTACATAATATTTAACTTGGCTCCTGTGGCCAAAACATTCATAGAAATGTAACTCTCTACAAGCTTAGTAGCAAAATAATGTAAGTGACCCTGTTAGATCTTTCATTAATTATTAAGGCAAAAAGTTTCCAACTTACAGCAATATGTAGATTTTTTTAGCTCAAAAGAGTGCAGAAAGAAGATGACATTTTCATATGCTGACTACAAAAATCTGCTGGGAAAATAACACAGCAAAGCTTTTTGATGACCGCACACTGGGCACATAAACATTTTTCCAAGATAAAAAGTACCTGTCTCTATTTACCTCAAAATGACAAAAACTGATTACGAGTCGAACAAAACAGTTAAAGACTAAACATCAACCCAGTGTTACATCATGGGTACAGAACGCCATGGGCTGTGAAGAAAAGGAGGATCTTTGATACATCCAGTGGTTGACTAACGTTTCACCTAAGAGGAAGGGAATAAGGTCTTTTCCTTCACTGATCCAATTAGAAAATTCAGGTTAGTTCAATGACTTGCAATCTAGACTTTAGAGAAGTTACACAGGCTTTAAACAGCTGCTGCAATGAAGATGACAGTGAACAGCATAAAAAAGAATAGTGAAATGCTCATAGTGAAGTAGTACATAAAACTATAGAGTGCATCATTATGGATTCCTCTGTGTTATTTCCACCATATTTTAGTCATCGAATGCTCCAATAATACACTGTTTTCAAAACAAACCAAAAAGCTGTAACACAGCTATAGAGCCTATTCACCAGTAGAGCATCTCTGAGGTTAAAGATTCAAACTGAATATTGTGAAATAGCTACCACTGCTCATCATTCAGCCATTAATCTAAAACTTGAATCTGTAAGCTACACCAAAAATGATCAGAACTAAGAACACAGCGATTACATGCACTTGCATTCTTTTTGAAGCTTAACATACCAAGATCAAGCAACTTACTCTTTCAGCCTGGCTTCTTACAAAAGGCAAAGGAAACCAACATCTCTATTAAGTACATTCTCAAAAAGGAAACCTAGTAACAAAGTGAACTCAGCCTCCCTAAAACCTAGGCAATAATAAATCACTACACCGCTCTTCAAATGCTTCTCAGGTGGCGAGTTAACCGTGCATTCGTGAATCACTTCAACCTGAAATCCAAACATTTTATTCCAGCCCCCAACTCTTAAACTGAGCACACCTCACAGATGAAGGATACCAATAGTTGTGTAATCACACAGCTACACCTACCCTTGCTGGCTCACTATCCTACCAGGTTGGGAGGGGTGATTCTCAGTTGGCTTGAGAGTTCTGTTTGTTTATTGGTGCCCAGATTGCCAGTTTTAGAACGTACATAGTTTTATGCGCAGATGGAAAGATTTCAGTAACAGACATCTGAAAACTATTGTTCAAGCAGCTGGGGTTAAAAAGAAGGCTGATAGAGCTACAGAACATTAAAGATGGTGGAATAGCCTAGTAAAAGGTCTCCCAGCACTATAAAACGAATTTAGAAACATTCAAGGATGTTATAAAATTTCATTCTGGGACAGAACTTAGCTTTTAAAAGGCCTCTACACATGAAAGCTTGGTTTCCTTAGTAACCTCATTTAGCTTTCTTAGGGAAAAACTGCTTGAGAGTTTGAAGTTTCCCCAAACTGTAGGATCCAAAAGGAAATAAAACAGGAAGTCAACCCATTGAATCTGCAGTTTCTGCCAATGAGTTTAAATGCTTCAAGTTGTCAGTTAATCCACATAAGGCACAACTAACTGCACTTCTCCTAGAGACATCAGTGGAGCCCAGCACAGAGCCGTGCTGAAGCTCTGTTTAACATTCCTTCTAGACATCTTCTGGACATCTAGCATTGGGTATTCTCTGCAGTAAGCCATGTGCAGCATCAAGAGATGCTGCCCTCTGCACCAACTCAGTGTCAAAACTGTATCAGAGGTCTGAAGTTAGCTTTCAACTTTCCCCTTCGGAACTTGCTACATAACAGAGTCAACCAAAAAAACTCGTAAGAAGTTATAACACAGAAGATATACTCCACACATACTCATAACATTCTCCTGTAACTGAGTGGAAGCATCTCACAGTATTACACTACCATAAACCCTGTAGCAGATTAAAAACTAAGTAACAAGCTTCCCTCCCCTTAACAGCAACTTAGGCAATTTAAGACAGAAATTAGAGACCGCTTTCATGTGACTTCTTATCCATTTGCATTAGTTTATGTCAGTAGTTGATTTTTCCATGGTGATGAAGTCACCACACTGGGAAAACTAAGCAAGGGGAAACTGCTGCCAGCCACCAGGTGAAAATACCAGGTTTCCAATTGCATTTTAAATTGGTGTTCTCATTGACAATGATTATTTCGTGGGAACATTCCATATAGAGTTCTAAGCAAGTTAGAAACAAGTCAGTGCAAAACCAAATCAACAAGACCCCCATCTGCTAGTATGGTCTGGAAAACACCATGAAGCTTCAAAAATAATTTTTATTTATTTATTTATTTATTTTTAAGTGAAAGCAGCAGCAAGATACCTGTAACTACTGAAAAGCTCCTCCCCTTCCCTCCTGAAAACATTAATTCGTGTTTCATTACTTAAGCTGCTGTTACTATGTACTCCACACCGATAGGCAGGTGTTGAGAAATTCATGCCAGATGTTTCTATAAGTACTTGAGGAGCCCTTAACGTTTACTACTTACAGTCTCTCAGCATTCCTGGGAATATCCCTCGGTACAGTTTTGAGTCCTAGTCCATGACAATCCACGTTGGAAGCAATGCACGTACATTTATGAGGGCATCCTCCAACAGGCATCCAACTCATGGAGCTCCAAAAGCTCAAGATCATTCCAAGGCACAGAAACGCACTTCTTCCACCAGACATGATTTCTTGATCACTCCAGCAGGTATAAAAGTGTGTGTGAGCAGCCAGCCCTTCAAGATGAAATGCCTCTACGAAGGGGAAAAAAAAAAAAAAGAAAAAAAAAAAAAAGGCTCTTAGTACAGCCCAAGGGAACCCACCACTGCCATCATCGCCGGAGCAGCAGCAAACCTTCAAAGGCGCCTGAAAGGGTTACGTTAGGTGGAAGAAGGTGGGGGATTGCCTTTCGGGCTCAGGTTTCCTTCTGTTATCTACGAGTGGTACCAGAAGGCAGATAGTTTAACAGAGCTCGAGCCAGATGCGTCTTCAGATGAAAGAGAAACCGGGAGCGAAGATAAATACACACAAAACATCCATCAGAAGCGGCGGCAATCTCCCAAGCAGCCTCCTCCGCTCCGCATCGCCCCACCTGGGCCGGGCAGGTGACCCGCGGAGGCGCCGGGCGGCAACTCAAAGCTCCGCGAGCTCCTCAGGCGCTGCCCGCCGCCGTTCGGCCGCTGCCGCCGTGGGCCGGCACCCGCGCGCTGACGGCCGGCGGAGCCGGGACCGGGAGGCGGCGAGGGATGGACGAGTGGCGGCGGCGCTCCCACCCGCGGCGCTGCCGCGCCCGCTCGCCGCTCTCCATTCACTGGGCATGGCAGCCGGGCGAGCGCCCGCGGCACGGTGCCACCCCTCCCCCCTCCCAAAATATCAGCCGCCGCGCCCATTGGCCGCGCGGCGTCTGACGTCACCCAAACGCCGAACTTTTGGAGCGGAGGGAGGGCGAAAGTTTGGGGCCGCTCCGCGCGGCGGCGAAAGAACTCGGGGACCCTCGGCCCCATCCGCGCCCCGGGACGCGGCTCCTGGAGCCCCCCCTGCCCGGTTCGGATTTCGGAGGGCGACGCGCGGGACGCGGCGCGGACGACCCGGCTCCCGCCGAAGAGGTCTCGGTCTCGAGTTTCCCTCCGGGGGGGAACCGGGCGCCTTTTGTTCGGGCCGTGCGCACTCCCCGAGTACCCTCTGGCGGTGGGAACCGGCCCGGCCCCGCTCACCCCGAGCCGCCCCTCCCGGGAGCGCCCGTGCGCCGCGGGCTACGAATTCACCGAAAGGGCGGGCGGCGGGGAAACGTGCTGTAAAACGGGGGAAGCGGAATGCGTCCACGTGACGGTCGTGTGCCGGTCCGACGGTGTTTGGAGCTCCGAACGTTCTACTGAAGCTTATTAAAAGAACGAGCCAAACACGTTGCAAATCTTTAAATAGTTAGAAATGACTTGGAAAACGGAGAGGCCTGAGGGAGATGCAAGTAGAGCATCTTTTTAAGTTTAAGCCAAGTCAAAAGATAATTAAGATGAAGAACAAAGCTGGTATACACATGACATGAAATATGTTTCAGAATACTCAGTCCCCTACTTGGCACACCTGAAGACCATGCAGAAGCACAGTGATGCACAACACGTTGCTCACTGAGCTGATGCACACAGAAAATCTGCTCTGTGTCTACATCACAGGGTCTTGGTCCACGAGCATGGACTCTAGATTCTAGTCCTCTGTGAACGGAAAAGTTTTCCTTCCACCTGTCCAACAAGGAGCCTGGTGAGCACTGCCCTGAAACTGCCACAGACACCTCCAAAGACTGGGCAATGCTACATTACCTTGGGTTTGCATTTCCCACTTGGTGCTCAAAATGTTTTTTTCTACAAACTCAGAATTTTAAATGGAAAAGCTTCCAGGAAAAAAAAACCAACCAACCCCAAACACTAAGACACTCATCATCAGGCATGGATTCCAACATGTGCAACTATTTGTTGGTTTCTGGCTATGTCTGCCCCACTGGGATTTCTGACACTTACAACCATGTGAGGTGTTCCTGTCACCTCGATAGCCAGTTTTACCCTTAAATGCAATGCCACCTCCACAGCCAGCAGGGCAGCTACTTGTCTACTGCCCTAACAAGGACCCATTGGACACTATAGAGAATTTCCCAGGAAAGACCAATTTGCCAACAGCGTGTGTAAGATCACAGATCACTTTCACCTCCCCTTTTCTGGTCTTTGACAAAGCAAAACAAGAAACAAAGTGTTTTTCTCATTTTTTTACTGAATTATTTGGTCTTTTTTTTTTTTTTTTCCCCCCACAGAATCCATTTTGATCAAGACTTACACCTGAACTGCTTACACGACTAGACTCAGAACTCATTTAAGCAGTCCTTGTATAGCAGTATTCAACAAGAGAAGGCTCAGTGACAAGTCACACAAGGATTGAAAATGTACAGAGACTCAGCTGTCACCCCTTTAAGTGGCTGCTTTATGCTACTTCAGAAAAGATTAGAAAATGCTGTTCTCTCCACCTCTCTCAAATCTACAAGAGGAAAGGGATTGGGAAGGTGTACGTAACTTCATCTGAATTCCCAAATAAACCTTGGATTTCGTGGAGTAGAGGCAACAAAGATGACTTTAACCTCCCTCACTAACAGACCAATTGAAGAGCAAAGCCTAGCGAACCCCACTCCCGCCTCACTATACAGCAACACGGGCAGCAACAACTGCAAGATCTTGAACCACACCCCTCCCCTTTACCCTCTTGAGAGGGCAAAAGCACAGCCAGCTCCAGGCACGTCACTGACACTCATCGCTATCTATTCTGAGGCAAGCGCCCTCCATCAAGCGTTAGTTCAAGAGATCAGCTCTTGAACACAGAACAGCTGGTTCGGCCAGATGACAGAAATTACACTGCTTAGCAAGACAAAGTACTCCGAAAGCTCCAGTGTCTCCTCCACACAGACTGAAGGTACACATCCTTAGTTCGTTCAAGCAGCGAAAATACTTTCATTGGAACCTAACTTGCCTTGGCAGCCAGGCAACATCATTCCAAAGAAAGATTTCCTGCTCTGTTTAACTTGCAAATCTCTTTCTAGCTATGGGCTCATGGAGAATTATACATCCCTCGCCTCAGGATGGACACGTGGGGGTTGTTGGATACTAATTATTAATACAACTGTAGACAATGGAAGCACAACTGTCCAATGCAATACTTATTTTTAAGTTACTCTAATATTCAGCTCTGCAGGACCAGTTCTAAGAAATGCTGAAAAACTCCCTGGAATGTCTTCTCACTATCATCCACAGCAATCAGCATATTCCATGCTTCGCTGTTTCTCTCTCACAAGAAAATCACCCTGAATAGAAAGGTGCACCAAATGACAGAAAGCAAGCTGAACTGAAAGCCAAGCCTAATCTTCAAATATATTTCATTGTTATAAAAACTGAGGCATGTTTACATTCCAGTTAAAACAGCACTTAGAGGAGACAGTCACATATTATCAAGTCACACCACAGAGAAGCAGAGTGTTGGCTCTGCTGTTTTCTTTTCACATATCTACTATGCCTTCCTGATCTTGGCAACTGCTGCAAGCTGGCAAACCAGTCACTTCATCTCTTAGTATATGGCTGGCACAGGGTATGGCATGCGTTACACAAAAAGGCACAAAACAATACAGACATTGGAGTATCTACTGAATATGGATCTACAAAGTGTCTCCTGTTTGACCCTGTTTTGTATTTATACTAAGATATTTAAGTTATTTTTATGAAGCTATCTAAAGATGGACAGTTTTCATACATACTTTTTCCCAAGCATTTGAAATGATCAACGTTTTCATACATGCAAAACGCCTCATAAAGGTTATCAAAGGTGTGATGCCTACCCAGCAGGAATTTAAATCTTGCCTGCTGCTTCTGCAATATGAAATATAGTCCTTTCTCTTAGGAAAGGAGTAGCTTCGACATATCTAGAACATCTTTACACCAGTTAGGAAACTGACTACTCAACACATGAAAATAAACAGGAAAAAAAAACTAAGCAAGAAAAAAAAAAAAAGTGGTTTTCTTCTTCTGAGATGGAAGAACGTTCACTGAACAGCTGTTCAGATTACATTCACATTCAAGTGGAGCTGTCACCTCAGCTGCTTCCCTTCAACCTGCCATCCGTAACTGGGACTCCATGACTACCCCTCCACTCCTTGCAGAACTGCCTTTAATACCATTTATGGGCTAGAGGAAGAGCACTGAGTCCTGGGAACAGTGGAAAGGCACGGTGAACAAAACCAGACGATTGTGGCAGCTACTCAAAGAAGGGGAAGAAAGAGGAAAATCACTTCTCTAGGCAATTTTGACATTTCAATACTCTTCACTAAATACAAGCACTGAAAGTGTTTTAGAGTTAATTTCAAGACATGCTACAAAATGTCACCATATTTCTTGTCATGTCCTGGGCATACATGCAGATGCACACCATATAGAAAGTGTGACACGTCTGAGAAACACGGCATTCACTGCATTTGCTTTGCACTTGTGGCTCTCACATATGTGGTAAATCTGATGTCTCCAAACGCTGTTTATTCCATGCACAATAGTGCATCTAGAAGCCTGGCAGAACTGTAGCAGGGCCTGTTCTGCTGGCTGAAATCCTGAAATCTGAAAGTTTACAGGCACAAAAATAAGACTGGTTAAAGAAATCCAAGCAGACAGTCCTCTAGTTCAGGTAACAAAAGGCCATCACAAAACCTCATGCTGCAGGACTGCTTGCACAACAGACAAAAGTCTCTACCACCAGCAGCAGTAAAGCAGAAAAGGGGAGAGGAAATTACTTCAGAAGAATGGACACCCAAATCTTATCATTTAACTGACAAGGCTCCCTGAACAGCTTGAAGAGGAGCTCTTCAACACATCTGCCACTGAGGAGAATACTTTGCCAAGGGATCAAGCTGATATGTGCATTTTAAAAGATACTAAGTTCAAATTCCACCTAATTTAAAGTCACTGATGCAATCATTTGGGAAGCAATGACATATACCAAGTTATATAAAGTATCTCAGTACATTGCCTAAAAAGGACATAAAACCAACACTTGACAACCCTGTCAATGGTAAGGAATTTGAACTTGATTTTTACTAGAAACTAGAAATAGAACATAGGTTTAACATGACTGATGGCAATACTTTGGAGTTTTTTGGTTTTGTTTTTTTTTTTTTTTTCCCTCCCCTTGGGAAAATAACATCAAAAGTACTCAGTTTTGCTCTCCATAGCCACGGCACAAGCTACGAGACACCTATTTTAAAGGCAAACGTAGACTTCAGCGCTGCTTCCCTAAACAAACAGAGCCTAAATTGTGTCACGATGCCCTCTTGTGGCTGTTGAGCTCTCTCAGGGTCCTGAACAGACGCTGCAGCCTTGTGAATGTCTCCTGCAAAAATCTTAAGCTGAAGGCTTCATCATCTACAGCACATAGCTCATTTCTAAAGGTTAAATACTTTTTGAATCTGTGATTTTTAAAATGCATGTGCATAAGATGTCAAAGCTAGGGCTAAAATCAATAGCAAGGTGATACTGTCCAGGTTGCGGCTGTTCACCACACCAGTTGATGCCCAATTCAGTGCCCGTTTCACAGGAAAGAATGAGCACTAAGTTCCAGACGTTAGCTTTTATA